CTTTTGGAGGACATACTTGACATCTCAAGTACATAGTGAACAGGAACATGAAAAAAAAAAAAAAACAAACAAACAAACAAAAAAAAACCAAAAAACCCCCCATCAAATTCTTGATATATGTTGCACATTTAGAGTCCGTGTAGACATTTCCACAGCAGCTGTGTGCTTGCTTACACAACCTAAAAGGTAACATCAGAAATGAATTCGTGTATGAACTACAAAGTACCAATAGAATCCCACGACAGAGTAACCTTGCTTCAGCGCTCACGCCTGCGCAGGCTTTACGCGCGACCACCGCAGGCTCCATGCGCACTTCCCGCCCGCACCGACCGCGCGTGTGCGTGGCGTTCGCGGCCTTTTCCTGGGACGTGCTTGGCATCTCGGTGGGCCTGTTGTCAGGAGGGTCTTACCAGATTGTACAACATGCACTTAACAGGAAAGTAAGACATCAGTGACATGAAACATCAACTCTGTGATGAATGCTTACCGTAGGTGTCAGCGTTTTCATACTAGCTGTGTACTTGCTTGCAAGACCTAAAAAATAATACCAGAAAAAATGCTGGGAGGAAAAAAGAGGAAGAAGAGAGAGAGAGAGAAAAAAAAAGGAATATATATATATTATAATACCTAACATTTAATAATATTTTATATAATAATATAATGGTTTAATAATAATTGATAACAACTAATAATTATTAAAATTGTATAATATTATATGGTATAATAATTATTACCCATATATTATATAATAATAATCTATACATACAAGAGGGTTTAAAAAGTTACACTACTATTTTTCTTAGTTAATTGAAAAGAAAGGTTTGTGCTTATGTCGCTTGGGCAGTTCAATGCCTATGTCTGTACTCTGAGTAACTAAAGATAACAGGCAATGTATCAACTATCGTTACTCTCTTATTATCTTGTTTTGAAATTTTGTTTTATTTTTTCTCCTCTTAAAATAAAAAAAGATTTTATTATGTACATGGAATAAAATATTAGCTGAAAATAAATGTTTAGTGCACCGCAGTGCAGCCACACACAGCAGTGTACCGCAGCGCGGCCTTGCTTCCGGGCCCCGCTGTGGCAGTCTTCACGCCGCTCCGCGTGGCTGCGCTGCCCTCGGGCCTCCCTGCCCCTTGGTCTCCCGTGGCTGCGGCAGACCTCAGTGGTGCTGCCCCGGGGTGGCTGGCGCCCCCACTTTCGCGGTTCCTCAGGCAGCAACATTTCACGCTTTCTCTGTTGTAAATGATCTCTTATGAGTTCCAAGTGCAGTCTGCTAAGAAAATTTCTCCTTGATGTTTTGCTTTGTTATTTTCTTTTGTAAACTGTCAAACTGTTCATGCTGTATGTTCAGGGTCAAGTCAAACAGAACCAGGCTTTGTCTTTCGAGTGACGTTGTAGTGGTGCGTGAGGGGCCGGGGAGACAGCTCAGGGGCGTAAGCACCTTCCTGGTAGTGACAAGGTCTGGAGTTCGACCTCTGGTAGGGGAAAAAGAAAAAAGGAAAAAAAAAATGATGGCAGGAGTAGAGCTGGTGCATGACTCATGGGGAACATCTGCTCCACAAACTCATGATGGCAAATTATAGATGTCCGCAGAGTGGAAGCGTGGGATGTGTGTATTTTGCCCTCCATGGCGCTCAGGGACACACACGCCGTGCGCAGAGCAGTATGTGGGTAAAAACCTCGACCCTTGCACAGGTGCGCACGCCTTGCCATTCGATGTACCAGGTGAGAGAACTCCGGGGTCGGTTCCTGTGACCTCGGAGGCCGGCTACCGAGAAGCTACAGCGCATGCACGGCGGGGGTTGTGGTAGCGCGCAGTAACGTTCAGCTTGCACGGTCGGCGCTCTGCCGCTTTACGCTCGTTCCTCCGGCTGTCAAGCTGCTTAGGAATCCGTGGGCCTGTCCCCAAGACAACAGTGGGGCGACACAGCCCACCGCACTTGCCCAGAGGGCCATGGTGGGTCTGAGTGGCTGTGCAGGGCCGCTGGCAGGGTCGCAGGCGGAGCCTGGATGGGGGAGAGCAGCCGCCAGTGTTTGGCTACACTTTCTAAGGACGAGGGCGAAACAACTCACTCTAACTTGGAAATACCAAGTGAGTGTATTATATTTCAGTCTGGTATAAGTTTGTAAAAGGACTTGATCTGTACATTACAGCACTTTGGCTTTTTCCACTCATATTTTGACTTTTAGGGGGAAAAATTAAATGCTGATTGAAATACTTGTCAATTTTGAAAACACCTGGCTGAGTTGGGCCTTCGCCTGTCGGGGACCAGCTACGGCTGCTTGGTCAGACCACACGATCTTTCTGGTCTACACTTGCACCATTTTAAAAATGCAGTTCTTGAACCGTGTGAAGGCTTCCTCCTGGTGCAAACTTCTTTGACTTTACTTTCTGACATCAAGGTTTTTTCCCCTCCAAATTTAGGAGCATATGGCAGTGTGAAAATGGGAGTTTTTCTTTTAAAACTGCTTTTCAACTTGGTGTTCTCTGTCAAATTTTTGCTTAGTGCTCCCTAACACAACTTAAAAAAAAAAAATCATGTGTTGGGCAAACATGATTTCAGAATTGCTCACGAGCTGGGCATCATGCAGCCCCTAGCATCCCGGCACTTGAAAAGTGAGGCGGGGGCTAGTGAGTTCAAGGCCAGCCTGGGCTAGGTACTATGTATCTCCCCCCTCCCCCAATAAAACCTAGCTAGAAAATAATAGGCCTTGAAAACCAAAGATAAAGAATTCCAGCCCCAGTCTGCCTATCACTTCCTTACCTGCCAGTATAATTTTTTTGTTTAATAAGGCAGGTAAAAACAAACAAAAAATGGGCTGATTGAGGCTGGCATTTTTGATCTCTAGTTTTCAGTGCTGATTATCTTCCAACAAGGTCTTATTTTTTGGGAAAGGGAAGTTAGTGAGACCCTGTCTTTTTTTTTTTTTTTTTTTTTTTGGTGGTACCAGGGATCAAACTCAGGACCTTGTACTTGCCAGGCAAGCACTTATTCTACTGAGGTATAACCCCAGCCCCTGAGGCCCTGTCTTGAAAAACAAAAACAAAAACAAAAAACAATAAAAAATGAGGAAACAAAAAAGAATTTATCACATAATTGATAATGATACATATTTTATAAAACATAGGTCTTGCTTGCACATACTATGAAATTAGTAGTCTTCACCCCAACCTTCGGACACCTCAACCTTGTGCTTTTTTGTGGAGTTAACATGTATCAAGGAACATATTTAAAGTTTTATTTTGAGGATGCAAAGTGGTGCTTTTTAAGCATGCCAGGAAAAATCTCTGTGCATTTGAATTCTATTTTACATATTAAATTTATAAACACTTCCTATCTATGTCAATGAAGTTTAGTAAACAAGAGAGGATTGTGCTTTATTCTGTCATACATTTCAGTATAAATTTTGACCTGTAAGGCCATTTCTAAGAACATTTCTAGTAGGCCGTTGCTACCAGACCCTTCTAGACCATTTGTAAGTATGTCTCTTTGTATAGATAGCTCAACTATTGCATGATACATTTGAGGTTTCAAGTGGAGTTTTCTGTTAAAATACTGGTGCGGAATATTCCCCTGTGTTCTGCATACCCCCTTTGCACTAGCCCACAAGAGCCTGTGGTAGTGACAGAGGCCAGTTCACGACCAGGGAGGAATGCGTGAGAGTATGGTCCTAATCTGGTTTTAAATATGTGCTAAAGGGATTCAGGTATTGGAGAATTGGCAGGTTTAGGATTATTGGATCCTGGCTCAGCCACTTACGGACAGTGGGGCTGTGGAAGGATTTCACCATTTTTCAGACTGGTGGCTTTTTACTTAGAAAAATCCATGCAGAAAAGTCATACAGAGGAGCACACAGAGTGTGGAAATAAAGCACGATGACTTTGCACAAGCCGGACACACCCACGTGAGCGTGCACACCAAGACGCAGCACATGCGCAACACCCTCGGAGGACCACAGTGCCTCAGTTCCTCTGGCTGCTGTGCTGTACTGTGCTCTGCTTACACTGGCTTCCCCTGCAGGGAAGTCGCTGTCCTGATTCATTAGTCGAGCCTGTTTTGTATGATTTGTAATTGGAATTACAGGGTTTGTACTTATGTTGGGTGTCTTTCCTAATGTGTTTGTGGGGCTCTTTTCACACTATCCTGTATAGCTGTAGGACATGCTTTTTGTAAGATATACCACAGATGCACAGGTCCCCTATACCCTGCTGCTGCTGGTGGCGAGTCTGTGGGCCTAGCAGTTAGCAGTAGTTCTGCTATAGATATTTATGTAGCTAGCTATTGATACAGCATTTCTATTGGATATACGTGTATGTGGAATTAGAACTTGGGGCTTTACATATGCTGCATTCAGTTTTGGTAGATAAGGCCAGTAGCATGGAAGGATTCTGTTTGCTGCCCCCACTTGCTAACACTTGGCATTGTCTGTCTTGGATGCCCAGGGGATGCTGCCACATTCCAAGCTGGGTGCTATTCAGATGCTGAAATTAAAGCACAGAGAAATGAAACAACTTGGTAGGATTCAATTTTAAGTAAAGCTACAATTCAAAGAAAGTCTGAGTCCCAAATCCTCATAATTCAACTATGTGGTCTTCCCACCCCTAAACATGGATTCATTTTGTGTCAAGATGTAGTCCAGGGTGAACCTCAAATGTGCTATGCAGCTCAAGCTGGCCTCAAACTCAATATTCATTCCCCTCCGCCGCCTGAATGCTGGGATTACAGGCATGTGCCACAGTGCCCCACTTCTTAACTTCTGTATAAAAATTTGGATAATTCATGTCTACTTTCCAGGGCTATGGCAACACTGAAATGAATTGAGAGACCGTTTATGGGAAGCATGTCACACAGTGTCTCACATGTGGCAGACAGTGGTGCACATGTTCACTTTTGGTGGGGTTTTTATGATGGAAAGAATCGTTTTGAACTTAGGATGTGCAAATTGTGGAAAAGGGGCTACCCTTAAATAAGTGGAGGCTTTGATTTTTCTTGTAGGTCCCATCTGTAGTCTCTGTGTCTCATCGTTTGGAGCAAGACCTGTCACGATCTTCAGTGGCTTCCTGGTGGCTGGTGGCCTGATGCTGAGCAGTTTTGCCCCCAATATCTACTTTCTGTTTTTTTCTTATGGTATTATTGTAGGTAAGGACCTGGTTCACAGCCGTCTTCCTGACTTTACAAAGCATACACCACCTTGCTAGTTTCAGGAACATCATTCAGTTACTGGAAGGAATGAAAAGGGTTTCTAGTCACGGCCATTGCTTGACCAATTTGCTCTCTGTGAAAGCCTGAGAGAATGTTTACTCTCCATGTGACTCTCCTTAGGCACACTCTACATCGTCGATCACTCTCCTCTGTGGCCCCATAATCTCAGCCCCTGATCTTTTAAGAAATACAATCTTACAAATATGTTATCTGGTTTAGCTGGTCTGTTTTCAAGTGAATCAAATGTATAAAGGCAAACATAATTCAAACTTCTATTTTCTCAATAGCCTCATTAAAGCAGGAAAAGACAATAAATGGATATTTTAAAAATATGGGGGCTCTAAGTATTATAAAGCATCAGAAGTCACCTTAACACTTTAAAAATATTTTAACGTGGTTTTTGGATACAGAGTCTATATAGACCATGCTCACTTGGCCTAGGGTTGCAGCCAGGCTGGCCTCTGATTCTCCTGGCCTGGCCTTCTGAGTGCTGGAGCTAGAGGTACGGGTCAGACGCCCAGCGAAGAGGCGCTTGTTCACATTACCAGCAAACTCATTAGAGAATCTTTATGTATCGGGAAGCTGTCCGATTCATAGTAGTAAGCCATGATTTTCTAAAATTCTCATCTTCTCCTAGAAAGTTTGAATTTTATCTTTAGTGACAATTGTTGTCAGTTGTTTCTCTTATCAGTTCATTTTCCTGAAAATAGCTGTCAATTCTCTGAGGGGAATAACCACAGTTTATCTATCAGATATTCTTTCCAATAAAAAAAAGACAGGATATATATTTAAAAAGTGCCTACTTTACCTGGTTACTGAAACAATTGCTTAAATGCTTTTCTCTAGCAGCTGTTGTAATTCAGGTGAAATGTTTGAAACAAATTTGTTTTTATTGTACGGGTGCTAAAGGTAAAAAGATATGTTTGGTACAAATACTTTGATTTTATTACTATATTACTAAGTCACTAATATTACTAATTTTATTACTAAATTTTATAATTTTATTTAGTATATCTCTCTTGCACGGTCAGCATACACATGAACTCAGTAGAGAAAGCAGGGATCGGCTGGGCACCATCATGAAAACAGTTTCGCCTCAGCATCTGGGAACCTGCAGGCCCAGTGATCTCTCTCCAATAGCTGCTGGCTTAAGGTCACCCTGACACAGATGTAGGGAGATTTCAGGCCACCTTCTGCTTTTTTTAAATTTTGAAGAAATTGTATATTACATTTATGCATCGTTAAAAATGAATGACATAATATTATCTGAAATCGCTTTTTAAAAATTCCTTTTGACTTAAGGTCAAAAGTGTATAAGTTGTGGTTTCTACTTTTGGGCCTTGGCACTTAGTAACCAGGAGTGTCTTTTTTTCTCCATTTTTTTTTCATGTTTCCAAGGCCTAACATTTGACAGAACAAATGAAAACAATGAAATCAGAAAGTAAATCCATTCCCTTTCTGAAGGTTCTCAGAAATACAGTCTCCTTTAAGGGTGCACTTTTTGTCATTAAAATTGATTTTCTAAAAGCAGGTCGTTTCATATCTTTTTAAAAATGATACTGGAGTTTGAGCCCAGGGTCTTTGCACTGAGTTCCTTCCCCCAACCCTCCCATCCCTGGCCCTCCCCCTCCTCTCCTTTCCTTTTCTTTCTTTTTACTTATTTTGAGATTGGATCTCACTGAATTGCTCAATTCCCCAGGCAGGCTTTACTTGGGATCTACTGTCTCCGCTTCCCGGAGTGCTGGGATTGCAGTGTATACCACCCAAACTACTTTTATTTAATGTCTCAAATGTCCTATAATTAACAATGACAACTGTGCTAGTGGCGCTCACGTTTAGTTAGATAGTAAGGACATGGAAGGAATCTAGGAACTCACACTCTGAAATTAGCAAGAGAACATCCTAGTGGAGAGAGCTGATTACTCCTTTCTTTCTTTTCTTCTCATGGATTTAAAATGATGAAATCTGTCCTAATTTATGCAATGTCTTTCTGTGCATAGGTCTTGGGTGCGGTTTATTGTACACGGCAACAGTGACCATTACATGCCAGTATTTTGACAGCCGCAGAGGCCTTGCCCTTGGCCTGATTTCAACAGGTACAGTTTTTTCTTTTCTCTTTTCTTTTCCTTTCCTTTCATTTTCTTCTTTTCTTTTCCTTCTTCTCCCCCTTCTCTTTCTTTTCTTTTTTTCCTTCTTCGCTACTTCCTCCCTCCCTTCCTTCCTTTTGTTTTTTGAGATAGCATCTCACTCTAGAGCTCAGCCTGGCCTTGCATTCTCAATCCTCCTGTGCCAGCTTTCCAAGTGCTGAGATCATAAGTGTGTGCCACCACCCCTGGCTTACAACAGATACATTTTTCAAAATAGGTAGTCACTCTTTAGCCTTCTAAATAAACTCAGATTTTACTAAGCACAGATGTACATAGCCATCCATTACCTCGTATGTCAGGTAGCAAAATGATTCTGTTACTTTTCTCCTAGAAGAAATGCATTTTTTTTTTACAACAAATATGGAAGTACCTTTTGGAATACACATATGATAAATCTGGGGTGATGCAGCTCTGGTGTAACATGAAAAGAAAGCCAGTGGGCTGCCACGCCAAAAGCCACGTGCCCGTAGGGGCTTTGCTAAAAGAACCAGAGGCTTCTCCTATAAGGCACCTTGATCTGGAGAAAGAGAGGAGAAAGGGAAGCAGCATGGACAGCCCCGAGGCCGCCTGCAGAGAGCCTGGCCCTGGCCCTGTTTCGCTTGCACGAGGGGGTGGGGGCAACAGCTTCTCTGCTGATTCCGAGCACACCCCACTGGCCCATGCGCACGTGTAAGCCATGGCTGCTCGCTCCTGTTCCTTTAACCACAAGAGATGCTCACAGAAGGGAAAAGAATGTATGAAATATAGATACTACATGTGAAAGCCTCTGGGCTCCTTCTGGGTTTTAAAGGGGTGTTTTCACTTTTCAGATGAATTTTTAAAAAGCTGTTTATGGAACTTATCAAAATGTTGAGGTCTAGTATTTTATAAGTTTAGTTAGGGGACGTCGCTGCTAGGTTACTGAGAGCTGAAGGTTTACATAAGCTGCTGTCTGCTGGCCGGTGTCCTGGGAGGACGGGCTCTTGGCGGGTATGGGATCTGCACAGCGCTTTGCTCTGAGGCCACCCCAGGGCAGCATGCGGCTGCCTGGGTGAGCGACCCGAGTTGGCTCTTTCCTCCTGGTAATGGAAGGAAAGACTGCCAGGTGTACTGTGAGCCAGCAAGCGACATGGCCAGAGTTTGAAGACATGGCTGAGGCAGAAATAGGAGAAAGAACACACAAACCACAGAAGAGGAACATGGAGCAGTTGGAACACAGCTGAGAGAAGCTGCTTGGGTCACCCACGAGTGTGTCAGGCCTAAGCAGAGGCCTGGCAGCCCCGGGGACACAAAGTCTCACCTGTGCTGATTTTGTGTGGGGGCAGAGACTGCAGAGGGACCACACAGACCTGGGGGCCTGCCCTGAGTGCCGCTTCTGTCGGGCATCACTTCTCTGAAGCTGGACAAGACACAGATGTTCTCCCCATCAGTTTTCTGGACTGCGAAGTAGGGCCAGTCAGAGGTGGTAGGGTTTCAGTTTCAACTTGGGGTGAGACAAAGTGAGGGGGAATTAGGGAGAGGGGTGGAGCCCCCAGTGAAGAGTTGACAAGCAAAGCCACAAGAGAATTAAAAAAGAAAAAAACCTCAAACCAAATTACGTGAAATATTGTAACCTAGTCAAAAGGAAAAATATAGGCATAAAATGAAGGTTTCTTTTGGGGGGCAACTGTTTTCCTTCCCATAGGGGTTGGTAAACTTAGGCCTTTGAATCCAGGCTGGCCTCCCACCCTTGCTTGTCTGGCCCACAAACCAAGAATGGAGTTTGCATTTTAAAAATGATTTTTAAAAATCAAAAAAGAGTATGTCACGACATGTGACAGTTGCATGAAGCTCAGTGTCTGTAAATGAATTGGAACGCAGCTGGGCCTGCTCCTGTGTGGACCATCTCGGCCGTTCTCATGCTTCAAGGGCAGAACCTGCTACTGCATGGGCCGTGGGCCTGAAGCATTCCCTGCCTAATGCTTTACAAAAAAAGTGCACGGATCCAGGCCTGGTGCTGATGAGTCCCCGTGAGCGTCCACTAATCGTTTCCCTCTTGTAACAGTGTTTAATGTGGATGAAAGCATAATTGATGGCTTCAGTTTGTCCTTTCCATTGACTATTTTTCTATTAGGAGGATGTTCTTTTTGAAGATTAAAAATTGTTGTTTTACTGGTTAAAAAGTTGTACAGAAAAACATTTCCCCCTGCAATGCTGGGGATCCAACCTGAGACCTCCAGCATGGTAGGCAAGTCTGTACCCCTGAGCCACCCACCCTGCCCCGCAAGGAAATGATTACTCTTTATGACCCTAAAACAACTCCTGTACTTTTCTGAACTGTGGCCCTGTTTTCCTGGGATGCAGTCCAAGATAAATAGCTTGATTTTCCCTGCCCTTGCCATATAGTTAGCATATGGTAAGTGCTCTGTAAATAGCTGTTGGATTGACTTGCTGTGTTTCTCTGTGTCATGATGTTGACATCCATTATTTTCTCAAATTAAGGTCAAAACATAGAACTCTGAGAACACCAAGAATATTTTCGTTGTCTAATGGTGTAGCAATTTGGTAGAATCTGTACAAAGACGCGATGACAGATAAAGATGACATGTGAGCAGTTATTGGGTCCCAATGTAGCCCTGTGGTCCATAGAGCCACCCAATTGTATCAGTACTTTCAGGTGACTCTAAAGTATGTTAACTTTCAAAACATGTACTACTTTTATGAAACTAAGGAAAGGATTAACTTAGTCCACTGTTACTGGCCAATGGTCAGCAAAGAGACAGTTCTTAGTATAGAGCAAGTTGCTATCTAGTCCCAGTACATTAGCATAAACCAGCCATTAATACCTGCAAGCAGAGATTCTTCCCTCTTGGGAAATGAAAAGTTAACTTGAAAAGTAGGAAGAAGAGACAACTAAATCCTGCCTCAAAAATATTTTCTTATAACTTTAAACTATAGAGCCAGTTGCTTACTTGTAAAATTTTTTGTCAGCCATCCATCCATCCATCCATCCATTCATAATACCATGGATCAAAACCAGTATCTGATGGATGTTATACAAGTCCTTTATTCCTTTATAAAGACAGAAAATCGGTTCCAAGAGTGGGTTTTTTTTTTTTTTTTTTTTTTGCAGTAGCAGGGATTGAACTCAGAACCTTGCCCTTGCCAGGCCAGCACTTCTTCCATTGAGCTAACTCCCCAGGCCCAAGCCCTTTATTCCTGAGCTGTACTTCCATCCCTTTCTATTTATATACTTACTTATTTTAAATTTTGAAGTTGCTTAGTCTGACATCGGAGTTGCAACCTTCTGGCTTCAGCCTCTGAAGTAGCTGGAATTCTAGGCACGTGCCACTGTGCCCTGCATGAATCTTTGGCAAGCTACATTTTACTTTATTTCTTTCAAACCATTCAAGTTTGGGCTTAAGGTCTTTGCTCTGAGCTGCATTCTCAGCCTTTCTTTTTATTTTATTTTTTGTATTTTAGGGAAGGGTCTACAGGGTGTTCAGGTTTTCACTACTACATCGGACTCATAGTGATCCGCCTGTTTACAGCCTCCTAGGAGCTGGGATTACAGTCGTGTACCACCATGTCCAGTCTCGATTGCCGTCTCGGTACACCCCGGGGGTGGGGCTGGTGGGGCAGGCCCAGGGATCTAACTCCTGGCCCCTACACCTGCTTGCAGGCACTTTAATGTGCAATGGGACTTCACAACAGGCACATCCGTGTCATAAGTCACACCTGGGTTTGGTCCCACTTGCATCCTATGGGGGGAATGCTGTCATTTGGAATAGATGATTTTATTTGTATGATCATTTGGGCTGTTTTCTTTTACTGATTTTTTAGTTTTTATTTTTTGGTGGGGAGCACTGGGAATCGAAGTCAGGACCTTGTGCTTGCCAGGCAGGCGCTAGTGCTGCTGAGCTATCTCCCTGGCTTCTTGATCTTTTATTTTTTCTTTCTTTTTCATATAACATTTCTTGAAGATGTTTTAAGTTTTAAAATGTTCAACATTTTATAAGTTAAAAGCAGAACCAGTTAATGTAACTGGCTGACATAACTTGGCATTCCAGTGTGTTTAATGTGATCAGCACTGAAAAGGGGCTACATGCCCTGCTGTGTGGGTTGCATTTGCATCCTTGCAAATTATAATTTCATTAGTGCATAAATATAAATCATTTATTCTGATAATATAGCAATGGATTTAAAAAATTTTTTAAAAATTTTTTTCGAGGTACCAGCAATTGAACTCAGGACCCTGTGCTTGCCAGGCAAACACTTATTCTACTAAGCTATCTCCCCAGCCCTTAGCAATGGATTTAAACTATCAAAACATTACAAATATCCCACAACTAAACTGTATTATTTATCTCAAAATAAAACATGAAAATTTGCTTTCCCAAGTGCAATAAATATATATATATAGCACAGGGCCTGGCACACAGTAAATGCAAAAAGTTTTATAATGATATATGCTAAGGCTGAGGACTGGGGAGATAGCTCAGTAGCATAAGCACCTGCCTTGCGAGTGCAAAGACCTGAGTTCAATCCCTGATACTGAAAAAAAAAAAAAAAAAAAAAAGATGTATGCCTGGGCTGTGGGGCACTGCAGTCAGACTCAGTGTAAATCCTACTTCTACTATCTCTACTGTTCTGCTCTATGGCAAACGTCTCGAGCTTCCCAGCTCCAGTTATTTTATTTGTGGATTAGGAGTAATAATAGTGTCTATCCATAGGATTATTACAAGGGTTAAATGAGGTAATGCCTCATAAAGTGCTTAGCACTATGTAGACTATAAAGGGATGCTATACTGGTATTTCTATTATTGTTGCTAGCATTACTATTTTGTGATTTTAATAGAAAAAGTATGTGATGGTATATGCTTGTAATCCCAGCACGTGGGAGGCTGAGGCAGGAGTGCAGTGAGTTGGAGGTTAGCATAAGCTACATAGTGAGTTCTAGGCCAGTCTGAACTAACCATGTCTCAACAAATAAACAAAGAAAAAAATATATGCACATATGAATGCCATTTTAAGTTGGAGTGTCTCTAATGCTTCATCTGTGAGATGAGGACTCAACCCCCCCATTTCCCTTTTAGGCTCAAGTGTTGGCCTTTTTATCTACGCTGCTCTGCAGAAGATGTTGATTGACTTCTACGGACTGGACGGATGCCTGCTGATTGTTGGTGCTTTAGCGTTAAACATATTAGCCTGCGGCAGCCTGATGAGACCTCTGCAGGTCTCTGATTGTCCTTTGCCAGAAAAGGCAGCTCCAGACAGTGTGCCGGATAGATACTCCATGTACAACGAAAGAGAGGCGAGCCAGGAAGAGGGCAGGACCATGCTGGAGAAGAGCCGTGGTGACGAGGCCCACTGCAAGGCTGCGCTGGTCAGCGGGGACTGGAGGCCGGACGGCATTCTTCTCGGAAGCCCCACAGCAGTGGTGCACATGCAGGAACCAGAGACATACAGGCAGAGAGTTGCTAGACAGACATATTTTTGCAAGCAGCTTGCCAAGAGGAAGTGGCAGCTGTATAAAAACTACTGTGGTGAAACTGTTTCTCTTTTTAAAAACAAGGTGTTCTCCGCACTTTTCATCGCCATATTACTCTTTGACATTGGGGGCTTTCCACCTTCCTTACTGATGGAAGATGTTGCAAGAAGTTCCCACGTGAAGGAGGAGGAGTTTACCATGCCTCTTATCTCCATTATAGGCATCATGACGGCAGTTGGAAAGCTCCTGTTGGGGATTCTGGCTGATTTTAAGTGGCTTAACACCTTATATCTTTATGTGGCTACCTTAATAACCATGGGCCTGGCCTTGTGTGCAATTCCATTTGCCAAAAGTTATGTCACATTGGCGATGCTGTCTGCCGTCCTGGGGTTTCTCACTGGCAATTGGTCCATCTTCCCATATGTGACCACCAAGACTGTGGGGATTGAAAAATTAGCTCACGCCTATGGAATATTAATGTTCTTTGCTGGACTCGGAAATAGCCTTGGACCACCGATTGTTGGTAAGCGATTTATCATCAGATCAACCCAGTTTACTTATTGTAATTGCTATATAAGTTGAGATTATGTAAACACCATCGATTTTCAAAGAATAACTCATGATGCATTCATGCTCACCTTGTTATAGTTAGTAAGTCAATAGACTTTCTCTGTCTTTCTAGTCATTCTTTTATTTGGGAGAAACTCAAAATATTCCTTGTCTAAATTTTTTTCTTTTTAGAAAAAATATATTTTCATTTGTACCTATTAGTTTTACAAAATACTAGATTCCAATGCATGTTTGTTTTGGTTTTGTTACTGGGAACTGAACTCAGGGCCTTAACACTGAACTACATCACCAGCTGGTTTTTAAAAAAAATTTATTTTGAGACAGGGTCTTTCTTGCTAAGGCACTAAATTGCCCAGGCTGGGCTTGAACTTGTCGTCCTCCTGTCTCAGCCTCCCAGAGTGCTGGACGGACAGTCTACACTACCTTGCCTAGCTTCAATGTGATGTTTTTATATACGTGTGTAATGTGTTTTTCCCCATTGCCCTCCATTAAGTCTACCTTATCATCTAAGTATTTGGGAATCTCCTCTTCTAAAGCCTATTGTTTACCTTGAAAGGAATACTGCACTCTAACTGTATATAAAATTGTTGAAAGTCAGAGCATGGCTTGACACGCACACTATTTCTGAGAAGCTGTTTTGCCTTGCTGTCTTTTCAGGTTGGTTCTACGACTGGACCCAGACCTATGACATCGCATTTTATTTCAGTGGCGCGTGCGTCCTGCTGGGAGGTTTCATTCTGCTACTGGCTGCCCTGGCCCCCTGGGACACGTGTCAAAAACAACTTCCTAAGCCAACACCAACAACTTTTTTGTACAAAGTTGCTGCTAATGTTTAAGGACTGT